GTATTTCCTAAATCCAGACACAGCTGTCCATCCTATGAGAACCCAGAAGACGGGGGTCTGAGAAGAGAGCCTCGGAAGCCAGGGAAGCAGCTGGCGGGCAAAGAAGGGAACCCAGGGCTGTGATGGTGATGACTTTGTGCCAGTTTGTTTAGGTCACCAGCGTCCAAATGTTAGTCCCTGACTCCATCAGGGGAAACTTGAGTGAGATGCCCCGCCCCCAGATATTCTTTCTCTCCTTCAGAAGTAGATCTTGAGGCAAAGCTCTGAGCAAGACAGGACAGAGCTGCACGGAGCAACACAAAGTCCTGCTGAACTCTGGAGTGAAGAAAGCAGGAGGCACAGACAAGCCCCATCGCTTGTTACTGCTTGTTACTGCTCGAGGTATGCTTTGCTGCGGCAAAATCCCTGGTAAAGCCGAGGGGAGGGGCTTATTTTGACTGGCAGTTTGAGATATAGTTCCCTGGGGTAAAAGAGTTGAGACAGCAGAGCTTGAGGCAGCTCACAATAGGAAGAAGAGAGAAATGGAGTTCACACCCAGCTCATTCTGCCCTTTGTATGCAGCCCAGGGAATAGTGCCGCCCACAGCGGGCAGGTCTTCCAACTTAAACGAACCAATTTGAGACAGTCCTGAACAGGCATGCTCAGAGGTCCAGTGATCCTAGATCTCATAAAGTTGAAGTTGATAGTAGCCAACACAATTAGGCGATGGTTGATAGCAGCCACCACAGTTAGGTGATGGTTGATAGTGACCAACACAATTAGGTCATGGTTGATAGTGACCACCACGATTAGGTGACGGTTGATAGTAGCCACCACAATTAGGCCATTTTGTCACTATCACCAAGTCAATAAAATGGAGAGTGTCCATTTTCAAGGCTTCTTGCTACAAATATTCTCCCTCCTGCTAGTTCCCCTATTGGGGTTTTCTCTGCCCACCTGTTCCCAAAATCACACATAAAAATAACCACTCTGAGGCTTAATATTAATTATATATTCTTTAGCCTATTAGCTCAGGAGTCTTATTAACTAACTCTTACATCTTCAATTAGCCTATTTCTATTATTTTATATTTTACCACAACACTTGTAGCTTGTTACCTGGCATTTTGCTTCTTGGGTGGCTGCATGGCATCTAACTCCGCCTTCTTTCTCCCTGTATCCAGTTTAGTTTTCCCACCTAGCTAGATTCCGCCTGCCATAGGCCAAAGCAGCTTCTTTCTGAACCAATGGCAACAAAACATATCCACAGCATATGGAGGGGAATCTCACATCAGAGACTGGCTGTGCTTTTGAGAAATTTGGAATTTGTAGACATTTTCCTCCTTCTTTTGGAAGAACTTTTAGGTGGAAAGCAAATTGGATTTTTAGCAGATGTATTGCGGTGGACACAAGTTCTGATGTGTGAGTACAGTCGCGTAGAAGTGAGAGGTCAACTTCAGGAGCCAACCATCTTGGTGTGAGATAGTCTCTCAATAGAACCTGGGACTCAGCAGGTATGTGAGGCTGTGTGGCCAGAAGGCTCCAGAAGTTCATGAAGAATCACCACCATGCCCAGCTTTTCACATGGATGCTAGGCAAGCAAACTTGGGTCCTCACGTCTATGCATCGTGCCCTTTACCAACTAAGGCATCTTTATAGCACTTACCCATCTCCCAGCCTCCTGTGAGAGAAGCCACTCCAAAGCAATGCTGGTCTCTCCCATGTCTACAGCCGCCTCTGGTCACATAGGTTCCAGCTAGGCACAAGGGTTCCATGCCACAATGGAGACTCACAGCGTCAGCTGACCACTAAGGTCAGAGGTGACTCTGACTGGAAGCAGACTTCTTGGGGATTCTCTCACTGAAACCCCGAGAGACACTTGTGCTCTGTCTGCCCAACTTCCTTGATACGCTGAAGCCAGTGTGCCTCTCTGCCAGCCACCCTGTTCCCCGTGTGAATGCACAGATGCAGGACTCAGGGCTGCAGGCCTATGCTGAGAGGTTTGGCTCCAAAGACGTGAGCCCCAAATGAACAGACAGAGATGGGCTCGGAGTCTTGATATGTAAGAATGTGAGCTTCCAGCCAGTTGCCCAGGTAAAATTTGGTATTCATGAGTTTTATATTTGTCTGTTTAAGGATGCTCAGACATAAATGGCTCTTTAATTACATGAGTCTAAATATAATCCCATCTCCTTGCACACAAATCCCACCTTTTGCCTAACATATTCATTTGCTCCTTCTAACGTTAGTTTCAGAGAAAAGGCTGGGGTGAGTCAGAAAGAAACTTCTGGTGTGCAAAGGGAAGACCCCTCCCCAACAAGGAAGCCCCCCATCTTTCCTCTGAGTCTACTCCTTTCTAAGAAAGCAGAGTAAGGAGACAGCAGCTGCCTAATTACAGTCTGCCCATCTGCTATTTGTGAATGCCAGTGTTTTTCAGGCCGAGCAGCTTTGCCTTAAAGGCGGACTGTCACTAAGGGCAGAAGGCTCCCTCTGTGGTCCTGAACTGCATAGAGCTGCACACTTGGGTCTAAGATGGGAGTCACTATGCAAAGCAAGACCATCAGGGCATCTGCCACTAAGCCCTGGGAATGACTCCAAGGCGTCCTCGGTAGCTTGCTCGATGTGATAAAGCTTGTCTATTTCTGTCGACGCTGACGTGAACCATTTACTCTGAGTCCCCGTTTGCATGTAGAGCGGATCCTGGACTCACTGGGAAGCAACAAGAGCGCTGTGCAGCTGAGACGGGGAAGGGCAGGAGCTGTCAGAACAGAGGGATCTGCCTGAGGTAGCCACAAGGCTTGCTGTCATGAGCTTCTTCCCAGCCATGCCCAAGGGCTCTCTGAGCATCCTCTTCTCCAACTACAGGCTTCTGCATTCTCCATCTCCACCTTTGGACCCTCTCCTTGAACCTCTGCTCCTCTTCCTTCCCCTTCCTCAGATCAACACACATTACCCGAGAGAGTCGGGGAAAGGAAAGATTTCTAATTTATTTCCCTGAGCTTCCAACCTGAGACTTGCTCGTCCCTGGAATGGGAAGTACTAGTAGTCTGCACGCCATCACAACCACCCAGAGGCAGCAGAGGCAATTTGCGTTTCAAAAGTAATAGAGAGGAAATTGCAGAGGAAATATTTTATGCAAATTAGCCAAGCTTAACATTTTGATAAAGGGCTTTTTTTAAAAAAAAAAAATGAACCAAGCAATCTAATACTCCACTGCAAATCTAAAACAAAAGAAAATTTCCAAAAGCCTGTTCTAAAGTATTGACAGCAAGAGAGATTTAGCCAGAGACATTAACCACCCCATAAGATGGAACACTTTGGGAGCCAAAGTGCATAAGACTATTAGCTCAAAACAGCATTCATAGAAGTTTATGGATTAAGGTATTTCAATAACTTAACCAGGTCTCCTCCTCCTGGGGAGGGAACCCATTCCTAAGCCAGACCACATTCGCTGTGACTCCCATGCTATGCTGGAAAGTGAGTTTGGAATCTGCAATCCCACAAAAGAAAGGAGAAAAGAAAAATTTTTGTAGAGTGTGAACTATAGGCCACGTCACCTACGATGTGTTCCACATGGGTTGTCTCCTGTAGAAGGTGTCTTTCAGGTCCCCTGAGAGGAACAGCAAAGGGACTTAGGAAAGCCACACACTGGTCAAAGAACATTTACCTTCAGGAAGGAAGGGGCTAAGAATAACGTGGTTAAACCATCCTTCAAAACCCTTCAAAACTGCAGAGGGTTGGCTGGCGACTCTTAGTCAGTGTTCTAATACTGTGAAGAGACACTATGACCATGGCAACTCTTATAAAAGAAAACATTTAATCAGGGTTGGCTTACAGTTCAGAGTGTTATTCTTTTGCTGCAGTGCCTTTAAGAACTAACCACGCCCACCCCAGCCTTTTTGGACCTCCCCCCCCCCCCGCCTCCCCCCCTGTCTGGGGCGTGTGTATGTGTGTGCGCATGCGTGCGTGTGTGTCTTTGTTTTCTCTATGTTTGTCTATGTTTTCCTTTCTTTAAGTAATAAATGTCTAGCTTTATGTATAGCCTTATGTCCATTTACTCTTCCGTCCACCGCATCCAGCCGTCTGACTCTGCCGCTCGCCCGGGGACCCTGACTCCCCCACCCCCGCCGCATGGCGCTGCCACTTGCAGCTGCTCCGCGAGCTGCCCGGGACATCCCACCATGGTATTATTTTTAAAAAAAGAACAATACAGAGGTTTAATGCATTCTCATCAAGGCGGGGAGCATGGCAACATGCAGGCAGACATGGTGCTGGAGAAGGCGCCGAGAGTCCTACATTCACATCTGCAGGCAGCATGAAGAGGAAGGCTCTGGGCTTGGAATGGGCCTTTTGAAACCTCAGAGCCCACCCCCGTGATACTTCGCAATCCTTTGAAAAGGTTCCACTCTGTAGTGACCAGCAATGCAAATGGAAGAACCTACAGAGGCTACTCTGTTCAAACCACCACAGGAGTATTTTTAGAAGTCCATCAATACCCTTATTTATCCCCAAATCAGACTTCTGAGAAGCCCCAAGTCCACATCCCTGCAATTCCCAACTGAAAACCGCTTAGAGGAAGGAATAACATCAGCAGCATGCCTGAGTCTGCTCCCCGTGAAGACCTGGGGAGAGGGCTCCCCAGTGCGCAGGGCTTGGAGGTTACTGTGAGCGCAAGCGTCCAAGTTCATGTCAAGCTTTCCCTGTAAGCAGAATACACACTTTCCACTGCGTCTCGAAACAGACAAGTGTTAATGGCAATTGATGCGTTGCCAGTTCTCTCTGGGGTAACTGAATGCATGGGAAATATGAGTGTTATACATTTTCTATAGATATATATTTCCTATCATGCAGTGGTTGTTAAAATCTCCTTACCACAATAAGCACAGAAAATAATCATTCTGAAAGGACCGAAATAGTCATTACCCAGCTCACATCAGATGCCCAGAAATCCCACAGGATCACACTACAGGCTCGCTCACTCGTTCTTGTTCAGAAGGGAATTTTATTCTGGATGCATCCATGTATGCTTGTGACTGTAGCACGTGGGATCCTCACAAGAGGATGGGAAGAGCTCAAGGCCATCGTGGATGAAGTAGTGAGACGCTGTCTCAAAGCAGCCATCTTTACACAATCAAAAGCTGCAAATTAGGAAGGTGGGATGTCATAAAAGAAGCACTCACCCAACTTGACCTTTCCTCTTTACATAGCTCCTATGTGTTAACATGAAAGCAGAAGCAATGGACTGAGAATACCAGGAGGGGGTGAGGAATAGTATAGGAGGGGTGGTAAGTTAGGTCAAAGTACACAATTTGTTTATACCAAAATATCTTCATGAACCCTGTCACTGTGAACAATAAAGATATACCAATAGAAGTTATATGAAAATATTCTCCATAGGAGCCAAAATGATAAACTTGGAAAATGTCTATGAGATAAGCATAAACCAATGGGTTCATAGCCTTAATAAATAAAGAACATATAGAGAGAGGCCTACAAGTGAGGAGCAGATTTAAAGTGAGGGAGAACGCCTCTGCCTCAGCAGTGGCAGAGCACAGCCAGGGACCTGCTCAGCCTTGGCTGCTGCAGAGATGCAGGACTGAATGACTAAGAGCAGCTGCAGTGGACAGGCCATGGTGACGCTGCAGCAATGCCAGCAGCAAGGACAGCAGCAGAAGCATCGACTGGCAGCGTGTCTACAGGTCCTCGGGAACTGCAGCTGATGCCACACTGCAGACAGGAATTTATCAGTCTGCACTCCTTCTCAGAGGCCAGAAAGGGGGCTCCATTTTGCACACGAGAAAAGTGAGGTCTTAACTCTTCAGTTACTTTTCTTCCAAAGACGAAGATTTTGAATTTGTTCGAGGTGCTAAGCACTAGAAGGCTGTCTTCCCTGGGGTTTCCATTGCTGTGATGACACACCGTCACCCTGAGGAAAGGGTTTCCTTCAGCTTGCTCCCAGGTCACACTCCACCTCTGAGGGAAGTCAGGGCAGGAACCTGGAGGCGGGAGTTGAAGCAGAGGCCGTGGAGGATGCTGCTTACTGGATTTCTCTTCGAAGCTTGCTCAGCCTGCTTTCTTATAGAACCCATGACCTCCTGCCCAAGACTGGCACCACTCACAAAGGGTGGGCCCTTCCACGTTAACTATCAATTAGTCAAATGCCCTACAGACTTGCCCTACCACAGCCTGCAGATTGACCCACATAGGTCACTCCTGTGGAAGCATTTTCTCAAAGGAGATTCCTCCTTTCCAGATGACCCTACCTTGTGTCAAGTTGACACAAAACTAGGGAGCACAGGGGCTGTGACAATAGCTAAGGACACAGAGAAGGCTTGGAACAGAAGCCTAACATCCTTCCCTCCCCCTGAAGCAAGTGACCAGTATCTAATTTCTTTTCATCTAATATCTTAGAGGCAGTTGAGTTTTGTTTACATCTTTCCTTTGGGTCATATTCCTTACTGGAGATAAAGGACTAAGGTATCCTGCCTAGAACTCTGAAAGACAGTGAGGTCATCACCCCTGGTGTCCCCCACAAAAAGCCAGCCCTCGTTTTCCTAGATGTAAAAAGGCCTCTCTCTCCCAGTCTTTGTGGATTCGGAAGACATGAGCCGGTGAGAGGCTATCGCTGCACACAAAGCAGCCCATGGGCTCAGGAAACCAAGGACTTTTCTTCCGGAAGATCATGAATTAATTCTTCTTCGTAGCACAGGGATTTAAAGTCACCGCACTGAGAACACAGCAACTGTCAGCTGTAAAATCACTACAGTGCCCTCAACAGCCCTGGGTTAATGGGCTGTCCTTCAAAACATAGGTGTAGCCAGAAACAATCCACAGCGCTGACGAAGCAGAACCCCTTTCTCCCCTTCTCAGTAACTTACCCATCTGTGCGTGTGAACATTTATTGGGTGCCCACTGTTTGCCTGTGGGCTTTAGATATGTCCCTGTGTTCAATGAGCACACAGCCTAGACAGAGACAGGTGATTAAATGGATAATTATGCTGCTGAATGAATGTGGATGAATGTGGATTGTAAGGGATAGGTTAAATTAATCATGGGATGGCCACACAATAGAGTCCTATGTAGCCATTAACAAGAATGATGGCGCTCCATATTCACTGTCATGGAAAGAATCTCTACAGTCTGTCAAAATGGAAGAGGACAATGGTATTGCAAAGGACTGTCTACAGGGCTTTTCTCTCTGGAAAACTGTATTTTACACACGCGCGCGCGCGCACACACACACACACACACACACACACACACTCGAAGAACGCTCACCAACTTACCTATCAGTTAACTTCAGATGAGGGCTTTCAGACAGATTTTACTTTATCTTTTATTCTCTTCTATTTTGTTTCTGTAAACAGCTTTCCATGGTGAAAATGAGAAGCATGTCAGACTCAGATACACAGATATCAGGGAGGAGATACACACACACACACACACACACACACACCCGTGCACATGCACACACCCATTCCCATGGTAAACACTTTCTCTAATGGTTTCCTGGAGGTGAAAGGCGTTGTCTAGGTGCCGCTCTACTTTGGGTTCGCCAACAACTGTGAACCAGGCTGAACCGTGTGAAAGCTGAAGATTTGGGAAAATAAGAAAAGATGCGGGACGGTCTGTGGTTGCCACCTTCAACGGTAGTGGGTTTCCTCATGTTCAAAAGCAAGCTTCTTTGGACAACTGGACACATTTGTGTCAGGTATATCAGGCTCGGCAGCTCTCCCCCAATCCCGGACGCACACCATCCCTCCAGACTGCACAGCACACGAAGGGGATGTGAGAGGGTCACCCCAGTCCAGGGGTCCTGCCTGCTCTTACAGCCGCACAAGATTTGGGTTTTAGTTTCATTCCTTCCCTTAGGCTCTGCAGGACTACCGGCTATGTGCTTCTCTTCCGTTGGGAACTGTACCGAGAGGCCAGCAAGAGTAGCCTCTGTCCCCTGCCACTTAGGATCTGCGGGGCAGAAGAACAAACAAAGACGGTCCAAAGTCAAACCCTGTGTTTTCAAGTCCTGGCCCTCCACGTTCTAGGTGGGTAAACCGCTATCGTGTAGTTCTCCATACAGGGTTTCAGCCTCCCTGTCTGACAAATGGGCACAATAAACTCAGGAGGGTGTGTGGGAATACAACAAGATGATGTGCGCATGGCAAAGGGCCTGGAGCACAACCTGAGTGAAGGCTAATTCATATTGTCGCCGGCAGTCACACTCTGGAGTAACCGTCACGGAAGACGGAAGTGTCGGGCAGAGACTGGAGCTCCCAGCAGCTCAGCCACGGAGCATTTCCCAGCTTCACCACCTCCCTCTGCAGGACACAGTGGTCCGGTGAGACGAAGAGACAACACGCCAGACATCTTTTATGGAAATCACAGGCATCAAGAATCCACATTGCTGATTAATTCGTGGACAACATGGCTCAACTTGGGTAATAGCAAAAGGGGCACAGAAGCAGAATGTTAATGCCTCCTCGTTCTGCAGGAATATAAGTAGAGGCCTGTACGTGTTGACCTTTTCCACATGGAATATTTTATTAACTGACCACTGGTTCCTCCCCTGCGGGCCTAGGAGGCTTTAAACAGAGAGAAGGGAGAGTGGTCGGCCGATTCAGTTTTGGGTTTGCTGAAAAGGTGGAGAGAATGTACCAAAGCACCGGAGGACGGGAGAGCAGCTCCCACAGTGGCAGGAGGAGGGTGTGAGGGAGGATGGGGGGAGCAGCTCCCACAGTGGCAGGAGGAGGATGTGGGGAGGTGGAACTACGGGGGCTTGGTGCTGGTGGAGATGGATGCCTTCGCTCCTGGTCCTGAGCCAAGCGAGGCCTTCCCGAGGGCCAATTAATTGCAGGCACCAGCATCTGCCGTCAGTTCTTCAAGGTAATTAGCTCCACATGTTATCAACAGGAAGTTGGTGCCCACGGGCTCTTGAGATAATTGTTTCAGTGTTGGCACACAGTCTGCCCGCCGTGAAAGGTCACTGCACCCGATAGGTCTCCACTACCCCCATCCTTCTCGTTAAATGAAGAAAGCTGTCCTTTGCCACTGCGGTTCTGTCAGGGCATCGGGTGCAGGGCTCGGGGCACCGGCACCATGCACAGGCTTTTTTAGCTCTCAGTGTTGGCTAACTCATTTCCTGCGATTTCTGGCCTCTTACCATGCCTTCGTGTGGGCAACAGCTGAAAATTAGATAGGTGGACACGGCGAGAGAGGGTATTTGTGCACAGAAGGAGAAGATAGTGTCATTGTATTGAGTGATCACGACCAAAACCGTTTAGGAACACACACACGTGCATGCCTGCGTGCGTGTGTGTGCACACGCCACAGAAAATTCTTCCAGCAAAGGTGGAGGAAAAGGAGATCTTCCGAGTCCCTTTGTCAGGGCCTGTATCTGTTATGACTGTGCAGACTGGGCTGGTGCTGTTCCCTCCCCTCCACAACTTCTCCACCCAGGTCTTCTCTGGACAATCCTCATCACCCTTACCTCGCCTGCTAAACTACTTCCTCCTCACAGTGAGCAGCATGCTTCCCTAAAGCCTGTGACTGGGGTGAGGACTCAGACTCCTCAGACAACACCCCTCAGACTGTGCTTCTACCTACGGCCTACCTTGTAGCGAACTTCCTCTATCTTGTTCACCTTATGTCTTCCAGACCTGGCAAGATCTGTGGTAAATATTGATGTATGAATTTTGAACACATGGAAGGTATTTGATGATCCCTGGCTGGTAATGCGGAATTCCGGAATTGCTGCTCCCCTGAGGTACAATCATCAAATTCCTGATTCCAAAGCAATCAAGACTGTGATTGGCTCCCAGCACCAGTGTCCCAGCCAGCAATAACACCCTTCCCAGCATGCATTGCCATCTGCATGGAAAACTACCTGTACCCACATGGCGATGCAGACTGGCACTGCAACAGGAAACTCAGCAGCACTGACTTCCATAACAGGAGCTTCCCCACCCAAACACCCCCATGATCTCATCATACCAACCTGTAAATTAAGGAGGCCTCAGTACCACGCACACACCAGTTTCCTCTAGTTCTCCTTTCTGGGCACACTAGTGCACGACTATCACCACCAGCACGGGGGGGCGGGGCGACCTCACAGGTGTCAAAGCTGCCTTGAGCTGCAGAGCAACACTCTAAGTCAAGAAAACAAAACAAAGCAAAACCCCCAAAATAGCAAAATAGGTGGCCTTGATCTGCCCCCTCCTTCCAAAATAAAGATTCTTGAGATCTCACCAAACCTCTGAAGGAATGACCAAGCAGACCACCTCTCCACCCCTCCCACCTGTCCCAGACCCTCCCACCTGT